ATTTTGCTTTGGAGATCCCATAAATTCCATATTTTTTATTATAGTATAATGCAATGACAATTAAACAAATGTTCAATCCAGTGTTACTTTCCAGTATTAGTAAATTTTTTCATGTTTCTGCCACGATTTCCGACTGAATCAGTCCCAGTTTGATATTTCGGAGTTTATTTCATATAGACGTACATCCCAAATCTACATTCCCATGGGGCACTTGGGGCACACATAATGTGGGGACTATACTTAAATAAATGCCTACGTGGACAATTATAAGATGGTTCTCTACCCCAGAATATATTAAAAATAATATTACTTAGCCAAATCAATTGATGAATGTGTTAAGACCAAGAGGGAACCTATTCCGAAAATTGAAAATTTTAGGCGAATAGGTTTTCTACCCATTTAGAAAAAAAAGATGCCAAATGAGGGCGAAAAAATTAAAAAAGTGGCCAAAACCCCGAAAATAGCTTAAACCATATGATGGTTATACCAAAAGGATGGTTGCTTTTCAAATTACCAACATTTTCCGAAATTTAAAATCGGGTTGTACCCTTATCCAGGGGTTATAACCCATATCATGACCTGCAAAAGCAATTTAAAGAAGAAAGAAGAAATCTATTTCATCCTAAATGTCCAATTCGCTCTTCTATTTTGCACAACTTATATTCGGCATTTCATTGATTGCAGTCACAATGAATTTTGGATTTTGAGTTCTCATTGGAGGGATTATTGTCATGTGAAAGAAGTAAGTCCACGTTTTGAAATGAGCCCCATATTGCTTTGTCGGTCATTTTCGTCAATCAATAGAAGTCAATTTAAGCATGAAAAATCGCCATTTAATATCGTATTGTGTGTACCATTGGAAATGAATTCTTAAAATCCGTATGAATTCTTAAAATCCGTCAAGCCGTTGTTGAGTTATAAGCGTAGTAACTGACATAACTTTCTTTTAAATTAAAGTCTTTATTTTGTTCACAAAAAAACGATTAATTTCAATATAAGCTGAATTGAAAAAATTGTACATTATATAAAATTGACAAAAAAAGCAAATTTAAAAAAGATCTTCAACTTATTCGCTGATTTTCACAGCAAATGTTTAAAGGCCCTACGAAGTTTGTGAATGTAATGTACAATTATTTTGAAATTCGATTCCATTATTTTTTTTTCGATTTCAGAATTTTTGCCATGAGATCTCTCCTCCTCTTTTTTCGTGATTTTTTAGCGATTTTGAAAAAGTAATTAAAATATTGATTATTGTGTTCATAGATTATTATCTTCTGAAATGATATTATTAGTATAATTCTACTTACTCAATAAATACATAAAATCTATAAATAACAGTTTTGTCCGTTGTCGCTTCATACTCCACAAAAAGACTACAAATCATATTAGAAATAAAAAAACAAAACAAAAAAACACTACAAAATAGTAAGTCAAAATGTAAAAAAAATCATGCAATATAAAACATTACTATTGTACATTTCAAAAGTCAAAATGAAAATTTTCATATTTTACATTTTTCCGTGCCTTTTTTTGATTTTTATTTAGAGACAATTTTTTTAGAGACAATTTATTTAGAGACAATTCCGAATTTGTTTCAATCGCTAAAATCAGATAAGTGGTCCTTAAGTTATAAGCGTAATAACTAACACAACTTTCTTTTAGATATATATAGTTCCTCAGCCGCCAAATAAATGCTCAGGGTTGGATGGGAAGTCAACAGTATCTCGTGTAATAATTTTCAAACCGATATCTTCATTATTTTGGCAAATATAAAGATTGTAGATAAATCAAGATAGTGGGCGTAAAAGTAGGCGTGGTCAACATTTTTTTTTTCTTTAAAAACCCAACTCGGGGTATGACGAACGTTTGTACCAAAAATCATGCAAATCGGTCCAGCCGTTCTCAGCTGATTCCATTACCAACGAACAACAATTGATTTTTATATATATAGATGTGGTGTCAATTCGCTTCATTAATTCATTTACGATACAAAAATTAATCAGTTAGATTTTTGATACACTTAATTCTTGTAGCAGCAACTGCTTCTGGGTTCGTTCTGATTCTTCTCTACATCATGTAGGTCTTTCTTTACGAGCTTGGGCGGAGATTGCCAATCCACCAGATGGTGAGTGTAATGGCTCTGTTTCTAAACCCCAAACAAGTATTGCACCGACACCTTTTCATTATGCTGTCACACCTGTTAGATCTTCGCCTCCTCTGGTTTGAAACTATCCAACGTTTCAAACCTGGCCGGAGGGTAGAATTTTCAACGTCTTCGAACGGCGTGGCATGGTTGACCGTATCAAAGGCCTTTGATAGATCAAGAGCCACCATTACTGTTCTATGGCACGGCCTGTTCTGGTTGAGTCCTCGACTGATATGTGTGGATATGGCGTGCAATGTTGTTGTGGTACTATGTAGTGGAAACCGGAAACCGTGTTGATTGTTAGCAACTGAATAGCTGAATATATGTTCATCCATATGGTGATATATCAACAAAGTGATTGTTCAACCGATCATATTTGTCATCAATGAGCGTACAATTATCCGCGTGTGTTATTATCCTTATGTATTTTGGAGGTCTTAGAATGTCAGAAAGGTAAATGTTCAACAGCTTAGAAGATATCAGTGAAACTTCCCGTTTCACCCTACGCATATACGACCTCTTGTTCTCAATTCCACGTATGACTTGTTTCCACACCTGTAGTCGACAACTCAATGTGTCAAACTTGGCCAGAGGGTTATATGCGTAGCGTCATAAAACAGTATGGCGTGGTTGACGGTTTCAAAAGGGTTTTATAAATCAAACTGTTCTGTCGCATGGCATGTTTTGGTTGAGTGATCGACTAGTACGTGTAGACATGTCGTTGTGCTATGCAATTCCGTGTTGATGAACGCAAACTGGGAGACTCTCTTTTATGCTGGGGAATAATACCTCAAACGTCTTCGCTCCTGGCGACAATAGTGTTATCTGTCTGTATGAGTCAATTTTACTGGCTTCCCTGTCTGGCTTCAGTTGCTGGACCACCCTGCCCACTTTCCAATCATCGGAAACTATTAGGATAGTTAACGACAAGTTTAGGAGTTTGGTCAAATACTCAACTCCTGGTTAATCCAGTTGCGATATCTCCATAGAAAGCATCAAACGACTTAATCGTTCCTCGATTCGATACTAACGTTGCATTGCTTCAGCCTATCCATCCATTTTTCTGCCTATGCTCCTCAAGTAACCTATTTACCCCCCAGAGAAAGTTCACTGATTCTGTGATCATTAGGGTTAGAACGGCGAAGCTCATCATGTTAGTCCCGTTGTCTCTTTGGTCTTATGCCAGATATTCGTCTAGCAGGTATATAGCGATAATATTTGTATTGATGATATCCACGAACATCAGATGAGTTGCGCATTTCTCTGAAGCGACGATTGGTATATGCTCTGAATTCTTGTCAATTGGTTAAGAAAAGTGCGAAGTTCAGAGTTTATGAAGAATGGGAGGTAGGAATTGTCAGGTTAAATCATTTTGGGGGACACGATGGATAATTCGGGTGAACTGTGGCAGTTCCACTTATTCTATGTACACGTTTAGCTCCTCTACCTCTGCGGTTCCACACCGCCACCCCCCTGCATTCTCTCAACTTCAACCGATATAGGTCTGTACTGGACAGAGTGGATCAAAAAAAAGGTAATCCTCCACCTCTGGAGCGATCCTTCTTCAATGCATTGTATCCATAACAACTTTGAAGCCTGTAGATGCTGCTTAGCTTCCTCTCGATCTCGGAAATCGTAGCCGTTAAACTGAAGATAAGATGCTTTTTCCGGAACTTAAATAGCAGTGTCAAGTACCGCATAGATTTGTGACTGTGGGGAAGAGTCGTACTATGACGACGACGTCGATGACGATGACTCACATTGTCGCAACAGGAAACAATGTAGTCTTTATCGTTATACTCCTGTAGTAGGTTTAAGCTGGAACAATACAGAAACTGCACCCTTTCCATACATCTGTTGCATCTGACCGCGATCGACCATGTTTTGGGCTTGGTCTCAGTACCAACTCGGGTCAAGAGAATACGGAGCAAACATTGCGGGTACTTTTGGTCCGAACTCAAAAAGCTAGTTGTTGCTGGGTTGGCGGCCCTTGATCGCAAGATTGTTCGGTGCATACAAACTGCGCTTGGTCGAAAGGTTGCTGCGCAAGCAAATTTTGTGCATATAACCGGCCGTCACGATATTACAATTGTCATTTCTGCATTTTTGTTACGACCAATACAATGGTCGTTTTTTATATCCTTCACCATAGTATGGAGAGTATATTAAGTTTGCCTCTCCGTTTATAACACCTCGAAATATACATTTTAGACCCCACAAAGTACATATATTCTTGATCAGCATAAAATTTTATGTCGATTTGGCAATGTCTGTCCGTCTATCCGTCTGTGGAAATCACGCTACCTTCCGAACGAAATGAAGTAGATTGATAAAATTCTACTCAAATGTATATTATGTCTACAGTACTTTTGGTATTGAAAATGGGTCACGTAGATTCACGTTTTGGTATAGCCCCCATGTAACGGTACCTCCCGATATTTGGTATTTTTAAGACCACTAGAATTGTTTCAATTTCGGTATTTGAAGTTCGTAATGGATACTGCAGCCTAAGGCAGAAAATTGTCTGTGCAGGTCCATATTTTGGTATATTCCCCATATACTAATACCACCCTATGACATTTTTCACCGATTTTTTTTCAAGTTTCACATTTGAATATTGAAATGGCTTATGAAAAAAGTTGTCTATGTAGGCCCTAATATGATGGCTACATTTGGTATTTTTAAGATTTTAACAGAATTTTCAACGGTTTTTAATTTATTTGAAAATTGCCAAATTCGTTTCAAATGGTGGAGGATATTAAAAGTTTGGCCCGGCCGAACTTAGCTTGTTCTTTACTTGTTTTATTCTAAAACTGAACTGGCAAACAATGAAAAAAGATTGATCTATACATACCGTTTTTATTTTGATGTTCTAATTTGTCCTTCACCACGTCCGATGCTTTTTTATTTCCGGTCATATCTTTATTGTCATCTGTTTCAGCAACGTTAGTAATCTGTGATTGTGTATTGTGTCCGCCCTCGTCCATACTCGTACACATTGCTAGCTGTCGATTTGTATCAGACATTCCTTTTTCATTTTGTCCATCATCCAAATGGCTTGTGTCTGATATGAGAATCGTATCTCTTTTTACACGATATTCTACCTCTGGTGTACCGACCGACTCGTGCGTATCATGTCGGGTAACATCGTCAATGTTTGCAATTTGTGGCATTGAAGTTTGGTTAGTTACTTGAGCATCATGTGTCAATGTATTAACCTCTTGGCTGACCTGTTTAAGATTAGTATCTTTCTTTTCTTCGGATAGTGAGGGACCTCTAACACAGTTTGCGTCTTCTCTTTTGCTGTCATCGCTTACCTGGAGTTCCTTCTTTATTTGGACTACTTCATTGCTCCGTTCAGTAGTTGGTGGGTCCATGTTGTTCAAGCTTTCCAATGTCGTTTCCTGTAAAATTTTCTTTTCTTTGATACTTTCATGACATTCTTCCATACTCATGTCGATGTTGTTGGAGATCTTCGATGAAGTTTCTGATGTAGGGCTGATTATGTGAACCCCATCCAAACTGTTGTTAGATGCTTGTATTTTATTATTACATTCTTGTGGATCTATTTCCGTTGTGCTGCGGTTCTCAAGTGTGGCAGCATTATCGACTGTAACAGATCCCCCACTAGTTACGATATTTACATCGTGGTTAGTATGTTCAACTATGTCATTGTTCTCAGTATTTTCTACCGACTTGCATTCTTTTGCTGACTGCAAATTTTGCTGACCATTCGAGCTATGTGCTTCATGTTGATATATTTTAGGTGCGGCATCGTCAATATCTTGATCAATCGTTAACATTTCGGGTTCAATATTTTCTATGTTTCTATCAGATGTTCCCTGGCTGTCTTCCGAAGTTATGTCAACCTGCACGTCCCTTATAGTAACGAGAATTGGTTGTGCTCCGTCTTCATCTAAATTTTCATTGTCAACTTTTAAATCTCTATCGCAAGATTCAAGATTTTTAGCGGTGTCTATGGAAAGATCAGATTCTATGTTATTTTCTTTCGTTTTTATGGCATTTGAGTTTTCAACAACTTCTTCAGATGGTATTGCACTCTTATTGTCGACATTGGTATCTCTGTTGATTGTATCCTTGCTTTCCTCCAATTTTGGATCTACGTCGTCATTTGTAACATGTCTTAAGATACCATTTTCCGTTTCTTCACTACTAATGTTATCATTCTCTAAATCTGCTTTTACATTTGAGATAGTACTATCGGCAATTATGGTACTACCTAAGTTATCTATTTTAGAAACTGGAGTAGTTTCACTTTCATGCTTAGTAATTTTATTAAAATCCTCACCGAGCTTATCATTCATCACTATGTTGTCGCAAGAGCTGTTTGTATTATCTTTGTTCATTGAAATTGTAAAAATATTTTCGGGCTCCAAGTTTTCAGGATGTAAGTTATCTTTTGGATTTGCTGGTTTTCCTGACGTTTTTATATCGTGTTCACCTTCTGCAAAGTTATTAGTTTCATCCAAGTTTTCAGGATGTGACATTTCTCTGGGATTTGAGTATAATATTGCAGGTTTTCCTGACATGTTTTTATCGTGTTCAACCTCTTCAAAGTTATTAGTTTCATTTTTTACGTTCTCTTCAGTGTTATTATTATTTATTTCCGACTGCAACACAGTTGCTGAGTCCGCAGCATTTTCTGTACTTGCATTGTTTTCATTAATTTCCGATCTGAAGAACGAGTCATTGCTAACTAAGGTTTCTTCTTTGTTTTCAATATGATCATTCACTTTCTCTCTGTTAACATTTTGTATGTCACAGTTTTCTGTAATTGAGGTATTTTTCATTGAGGTATCGTGAGCATGTATTTCAGCACTGTCGGGATCATCATTTGAAATAGATGACTTATTTATAGTTGGTCTGCTGATTTGGCTGTTTTTCTCTGCCATTCCACCTAGATTAGTTTCCAAAGTCTCATCCGTAGTCGTAGATGGCATAATATATTCTGATGTTGTAGCTTCTAAATCGTTTGGCAATACTGATGTAGCATGCTGCAAGTATTCCTCGTTTTCTTTTAAATGAGAACTAACTTCATTGCCACAGTTTTCAAGTGATAATTTACTAATATTTTTAAGGCTATCATTAATAGCTTCTGGTTCTTTATCTCTATTAACGTGTTCTATCGAAGGCACATCTTTTGAATATTCAGTTCCATCCTTTGAATCCTGGACAGATGGCTGCTCATCTGAAATCAATTCCTTTGTATTCTCCTGCAATTCAAAATCGATATTTTGCTTGTTTTCATCATGAATGCGTTTCGTCATATTGTCAACTGAATTGTCTGAATATTTAGATTTAAATACTGCTTCATTTTCTCCACTTATGTCTCTCAATACCTCATTGTCACTCTTTGAAACCTGTTCAGTGGAGTCCTTATCTAAGAACAATTCATTTATGTTGTTTGTTTCCAATGGAAATTCCTTGGGAATAACGCTATGTGATAATGTATCAGTGATATTTGAGCGATTATCATTTGTATCAGCCGTTACACCATTTTGAGAAAATGTTTCTTGTGCAACTTTATCAAATTGCGAATCATTAGAAGCCTCTATATTTGAAGGAATACTTTTCTCCGTTGTCGTAACAACATTGAGTACTGCTTTAGGTGTATCATTATCATTTTCTAGAGTTTCATATTGGACCACTTGCTGTTTTTCATCTTGAGATTGTTTCGCCATAATATTAATCGAATTTTCTGATTCGTCCAATTTTACTGATTCTTTATTTTCTTGGAGTATTTCTTCCGACGGTTTCTCTCCCGATCCCTCAGAAACATTCCTTGAAAGCTTATCAGTCGATTTCTTATGTAAAATTTCACTGTCGTTTGGATTAGCACAATTATCTTCGGCATCCTCATTAATTGCGGGACTATCATTTTCGGAAATCGAAACACTGTCTTCTCTTTTTGAAGGTGTTGAAATATCGAATACTGCTTTACCAGTGTTGGGATCATTCTCATGAACTTCATAATGAATAGGGTGCTCATTTTCATTTTGAGAGCGGTTTGTCCTAATATTAACCACATTTTCTGGTTCCTCAAATTTAAGTGGTTCTCCGTTTTCTGTAAGTATGTCTTTCGATCCGTCGGTACCAATCCTTGAAGCCTGGTCAGTTGATTCCCTATCTCCATTTTTATTGCTGTTTGGATCAGCAGTTACATCCTTTTGAGAATATTTTTCTTGGAAATCTTTATCAAAATCCGAATCATTAGTTTCAGAAATCAAAGTCTTGTCCTCCTCTTTTGAAGGTATCCTTTTTGAGGCTCCAACAGAGTTTTGATCATCTTCAAGTAAGCCATAATGGATAACTTTTTTATTTTCATCATTCATCTTTACTTCCGAATCCTCAGTACCACTGTTCGACATCTGGGCTGTGGATTCCTTATCTAAACTCGATGCATATGTATTGTTTCCATTCAATGGATCTTTCTTTGGCATAAGGCTACTTGAGAATGTATCAGCGTTATTTGTCGGATTATCATTTGAACCATCCCTTGTAATATCTTGAGAACTGTTTTCTTGGTCACTTTTATCAAGTTTGGAATCATTTTTATTCTCCTCGTCCGATTGAATAATATTCTCTGTTGTCATATCTATATTGGATTCTGCTTTAGTAGTAGTATTGTCATTCTCCAGAATTTCATTGTGAACAACTATCTGATTTTCATCTTGAGAGCGTTTCGCCCTAACACTAACCGTATTTTCTGATTCATCGAATTGAAATGATTGGTTGTTTTCTGCGTGTATGTCCTTCGATCCGTCAGTACCACTCTTTGAGACCTGATCAACCAATTCTTTATCCAAAATTGATTCATTTGCATTTTTTGCCTCCAATGGAAATACCTCTGGAACGATGTTTGAGTGTTTATCATTTGGTTCAGCAGTTATATCATTTTGAGAACTGTTTTCTTGGTCATTTTTGTCAATTTCCGCATCATTATTATCAGAAATTGAAACACTCTCTACTTCTTTAGCGGCATTGTGATCATTTCCATGTATTTCCTGTTTAGCCAAATTATTAACCTTATTTTCCGATTCAACAATTTTAAATGATTCTCTGTGATCTTCCAGTGTTTCTTCTGATATCACGGTTCCACTCTTTGAATCCTGATCAGTCGATTCCTTTTCTAAAAGCAATTCTTTTGTATTGTTTGATTCCAATGAAAGTACATTAGGAATGAGACTCCGGTGTAATGTATCAGTGATAATTAAGTTTGGATCAGCTTTTATAACATTCTGGGAAGATTTTTCTTGGGCGTCCTGGTCAAGTTCCGTATCATTATTTTCCGAAATCAAAACACTGTCCTCCTTTTTCGAACAAATAACTTTCTCTGCCGGAGCTGAAATACTGAGTACTGAGTTAACACTATTGTGATCATTATTACGCATTTCGTGATTGATAACTTGCAGATTTTTGTCAATGATTTCTCCTGGTATATCTGCAGAAGCCTTCAATTCCCGAAATTCAGTACCACTCTGCAAAACATGATCATTCGAAACCTTTTCTAAAATCAATTCATGTGCATTGTTTTCTTCTAGTGTACACGCGGTTGGAACAGGACTTTGTGACAATGTATCAACGATATTTGAGTGGTTACCGTTGGAGCCAGCAGTTATATCATTTTGAGGAGATTTTGCTTGGGTGTTTTCATCAAAATTCGTATCATTATTATCATAAATCAAAACGCTGTCCTCCTTATTTGAAGAACTACTTTTCTCTGCTGGCATTGGAATATTGAATACTGCTTTAGTAGTATTTTGACCATTCTCAGGCATTTCATATTGCATAGCTTTCTGGTTTTCATCATGAGCGGTTTTAACCTCATTATTAACTGTCGTTTCTGATTCCTCCATTTTAAATTGTTCTTTGTTTTCTTGTGGTATATCTTCGGAACGCCTATTGTCACTCTTCGAATCTTGATCAGACGATTCAGCATCCAAAACCACTGCCTTTGTATGGCTTATTTTCAATGTAGATCCCTTCGTAACTGGGCTATGTGTTACGGTATCAACAGTTTCTGATTCACAGTCATTAGTGTCATCATCTCTTTCATTATGAGAATTCGTTTTTGGAGCATCATTATCAAGTTCTAAACAATTATTATCAGAAATTAAAACACTATCTTCCCTTGTTGTAGAAGTGTTTCTCTCTGTCAGATTATCATGCTCAACGTTTGCTGCAATTGAACTCAGATCATTCTCGTGTTTCTGAAGATAATTGATCTCCTGTTTTTCTTCTTGAAGGCATTTCACGGAAATGCCAGATTCAGCAAGTGTTGACGTTTTTTGATTTTCCCTTCTATTATCTTCCTGATACCCATAATCGCTATCGTTTAGAGATGTCGACTCTACTTCATTTAGATTTTTCTCCTTGTCAAAGGATATATCTGAAAGAGACACATATGACAATTATATTTCAACATTATTATTTCATAAAATACCTTTCCTCTGATTTTCAAGAAGGTCCACCTCAGATATTAAATGCGAATCCTGATTGTAGCTTTCCTCAAGGGCATGGACATGTTTACGGTCTGGAAGAATATACAAGAATTTTGTTATTAAATATTTTATAGGGCAGGCAAAACATTCTTAACTAGAACTTGAAAGACGACCCATTTTTGATCAGGCTCCATAGAGATCTATAAAATCCCGTTTTATTTTAGTGCCTTTTTAACTTACAGGGTGAGATAAAAAAGTGCACGCCTTAATTTTTTTACATTTAATTTTATTGAATGAAAGCAAAAAATGTCGGAAATAGCATTAAGTCTTAGAATAAGTTTAGATTAGTTTGAATTGGTCACCTTTGGCATGAATTATGGCCTTCAAACGGCCAATGAAACCGTCACACGCTGCCCGAATGTTGCTCTGTGGTTTTTGTCTCATTCCCGGCGAAGCGCTTGCTTGAGGTGATCGACACTTTGGTATTTTTAGTGCCAACTTTGCTTTCCAAAATACTGCAGATTCAATAGTTTAGATTGGTATCCGTAAATTTTGGTGGCCATTGTGCGCTGGAAATGAAGCGAGGAACCTCATTTTGTAACCATTCTTGAGTGACGCGTGCTGAGTGCGATGGTGTTGAGTTCTGTTGGAATGTCCAAAGTCTACGGCCAAAAGGTTTGCGTTCCCAAGGCTTTAATACACACTTAGATTATAATATTTGGCATTTATTCTGATGCCACCGTCGATTAATACGAGCAAAGAGCGACCATCGGCTGTTATGGCGCTCACACCATCACCATGACCGTCGCTTGAGTTCTGGTGGTCATCCGAAGGTGCACATTTCTGCTGACCTCCTTGGCAAGTAAACACGATCATTTTGTTTATTTACAAACTGCTGGACAACGAATATTTTTTTTCATCGGAGAAACCCAAATTCGGCAGTTCACCACTTTCGACCAAACGAAGCAACTCTTTAGCTCTTTTGCGTTTGCTCAACTCTGTTGCGTTGTAAGTTCTTGCACTTTTTGGAATTTCAATAGCTTTACCCCGAGCTCATTTTTTAATATTTGCCGAATGTTGGCCACTGCGACGCGGGTTTCGATCAAGTCGCTTCTTTACTTTCCGAACCATTTCTGCTGATGTTGCTGTTTTCTTCCGTCCACTTCCTTGACATCGGGCTACGCTACCAGTATCATGGTAACGAGCGATGGTACGAGACATAAAACATTTATTTACATTAAAATGCTGGAGTGCTCTAACGATAGCCACTTGTGGTTTTCCAGCCAAATATAAAGAAATCACACTATCACGCTGGAAATCCATCACGAATAACTTTTTTTTTCTGAAAAATTCTCACCAAAATGCTTTTGTACTCTGGTAAACAATATAATGAGCTGTCACTGGAATAATTTTAACAGCTGTCGGACGAGTGGCTTATAAATGACAGCAGTTTGAGTTTGGTTTCAGTTTTTTCATCTTAGCCTGTATGTGTAATATTGAAAAAAAAAAAAAAGAAACAGAAAAGAAAGACCAAAGTCGGACAGGGCCGACTTTATGATACCCTACACTACTACACTATGGGGAATTCATGAGAATTAAAACATATTAAATATGATAGTTTTTGAATGCGTACTATTCATCAAAATTCATCCTATGTGAGTTGATATATATTGTGAAGATATATATTCATATTCATTATGTATATATTGTAGCTATATCCAAATCTGAACCGATCTCTATAAAATTTAGAAGAGGTGTTTCTATATAAATGCTGTATCTGGTAGATGGCACCAAATATCGTTGTTGCGGAGAGTATTTTACGGTTGTGAGGAAGTAAAGTACAAACTCGTATAAAACATATATATGAGACCTATAGCTAGCTATATCTTGGCCGATTTTCAACAAATTACTACACCTTCTTCCAGTCTAAATTCGTTAGTATTTGCCAAAATCCATTTAATTCGTCTTTATATTAACAATTTGGTGACCAATAAATGCAATGAGGATTTTTTCTAGGTTTCTAGATCCATAGTAGTAAATAAAAATGTGACAAAAGTGGATCTAGAGCCAGTGTTTCGAGCTATTTTAAATTTCTGGACCAAAATAAAATTATAACAGCAATTTCTCAAGAAAAACAAACTGTACTTTAACCCCATTAATCCTTTAAATCATGCGATTTAACTACAGGAATACGTTATTAACCACTGTCAGTTATTATACATATAAGATAGATGGCTAAAATTGTGCGCACATGTATATTTGGTCAGTAGGCAGGGCCAAGTTCGTAAATGGGACAAGCCGATCCGCGTTTTCGTATAGCCCCCAAAAAACTGTACCTCTGACGATTTGGAGCACATTTTCTGACAGAATTGTTTAAAATTCAGTACTTAGGAGTTTAAATGGGTTTTAGATCCTTTGGCTGCACATTGTTATTGAACATTTCTTATAGACAATGGTACCTCCCGATATTTCATATTTTAGGTATTTAAGCCACATTTTTAATGGAATTGTTTAAAATTCGGTTCATATATTTCACAATGTGATCTTCCTCTTGTGGCATAGCATTATCATTTTCCTGTAGCCCCCATATAAGGATACCTCCCGCTATTCAGTATTTTTACGATTTCCATCACATTTTTTTTAAAGTTAATTGTTTAAAATTCGATACCTACAGTTTATATAGGTTCTACTTTCTGTGACAGAACATTGTTTATTATTTCTTACATATTCAATTTTTTTTTAAATTTCAGTGAAATTACATTTTAGCCTATCATAATATTAAATATTTTAGCGAAAAAGTCAGCCTATTTGGGAAATTAAGAATAAAATCAAAAAAAAAAAACAGTAAAGAAAGTCCTAAAGTCGGGCGGGGCCGATTTTATGATACCCTACACCACTTTGCTAATTTAGTTGAGCTCCACTTAATAATTAAAAGTTTTTATGGGAGAATTCAATCATACACGCTATGATTATAATTATAATTTAAAATTCAAAGGACTAAATATGCCAAAGCATTTGTATCTTTTAAATTCGGACTTGTATTGCCCATTTGGTGCAAAATTAATTTGAAATCAGATAAAGATATATATGGGAACTATATCCAAATCTGAACCGATCTCGATAAAATTTAGCAAAGGTATTTCTGAGCTGCATTTGATATATTTCCCCAAATATTGTTGTTACAGAGTGCATATTACGGCAGCGGAGGACAAAACTAACAAATCGGATGAACAATATATATGGGAGCTATAGCTATATCTGAACCGATTTCGATCAAATTTGGCACACTTATTTTCAGGCCTTATATGGTTGTATGTGCAAAATTACATACTATTCGGGCTGATATTACACGTTTGGTGCACAATAAAAGGCAAATCGGACGAAGATATATATGGGAGCTATATTTAAATTTCTATCGATTATCTCCAATTTCAATAGGGTTCGTTCTTGGGCCAAACAAATGTTGTTTGCAAAGTTTCATCTCAATCGGATAATAAATGCGACCTGCATTTTGTTCACAAGAATACATGGACAGACGGACGGACGGACGGACAGACGGACTGACATGCATAAATCAACTCAGAAAGTGATTCTATGCAGATCATCAAAAGGAACTATGGGTCTATCTCGTTTCATTTTGCCTGTTACAAACAAATGCACAAAGACATAATATCCTGACCACCTTGTAGTGGAGGGTATAAAATATGAATAGTTACAGCCATATGCGGGTTACACCAAATTGTGGGTTTTTTGAACAATATCTGACAGAAGTTGGTTTTTTTCTGTTTTATGTTTATTTGTGTGTTAGATCGCCAAATATACAGGGTGAGATGAAAAAACTGCAACCAACTTCAGACTGCTGTCATTTCTAAGACACTCGTCCGACAGCTGTTAAAATTATTCCAGTGACGCTTCGTCGGGAATGGGCCAAAATAACGCAGAGAAACATTCGGGCAGCGTGTGGCGGTTTGAATACCATAATTCATGCCGAAGGTGACCAATTCGAATAAATCTAAACTTATTCTAAGATTTTAAGCTATTTCCGACATTTTTTGCTTTCATTCAATAAAATTTTTAAAGAATGTAGAAATTATGTCGTTTGACTTTGTTGCACTTTTTTATCTCACCCTTTGTTTTTTTGCCATAATAACGAAAAACTATAAAAATGGTCCTATACTTATTTTAAAATGTGAAAAAAAAATTACTTAAATGTGTATTATGTCTGCAGGACTTTTGGTATTGAAAATGGGTCATGTATGTCCACGTCTTCGTATAGCCCCCCATATGACGGTACCTCCCGATATTCGGTATTTCGATGATTTAAGAGATATTATTTACCGGAATTGTTTCAAATTTGGTATTTGAAGTTCATAATGGATAATACAGCCTAAAACAGAAAATGAACCATGTAGGTCCATGTCTTCGTATAGCCCCCATATAACGGTACCTCCCGATATTCGGTATTTCAATGATTTTAGAGACATTATTTACCGGAATTGTTTCAAATTTGGTATTTGAAGTTCGTAATGGATACTATAGCCTATGAAAGAAAATTGTCTGTGCAGGTCCACGTCTTCGTATAACCCGCATATAACGGTACCCCCGATAATCGGTATTTTGATTATTTTAGCGACTTTATTTACCGGAATTATTCTAAACTTGGTATTTGAAGTTCGTAATGAATACTACAGCCTATGCCAGAAAATTGTCTGTGCAGTTCCACGTTTTATAATCCCCATGGTACCTCCCCTTATTCGGTATTTTGATGATTTCAGCTACATTATAAACATAACTTTTCGCATATGAATATTGTTATGGTTAATAACAAAAGTTACCTACGAAGGTCCACGTCGTCGACCCTAATATAACGGCTACATTTGGTATTTTTACGATTTTATCGGAATTTGTAACGGATTTATTTTTTTGAAAATTGCCAAAATCGTTCCAAATGGTGGAGGGTATTAAAAGATCCAGGCAAACCTTTGCTTAATATTAATTCTTAGGTTTTGTATTGAACATGCAGCGATTGAAGCTTTTTTTTTTTGAAACAATATTAATAAAAATTGTGCAAAAACCAAATAATTAAAATTCTTGTTTTCTCTTCCGATTAATTAAAAATTCTGAATAATTAAAAATTATTGTTTTCTATTCTGAATATTTACAAATTGTTAAAACTCACTGTAGTGCTAATGTAAACTCACCTATATGTTCTTCACCAATGTGGTTTCCATTATTGTCAACAGGTATTTTGTCGTTTAGTTTATTTAATTCTTTTATTGGCTCATTCATTAATTCGCTTTTCTGGCAATTTTCTTCATCATTATCCTGTTCTTCACTTTCAATAATAGGCTTGTTAACTATGTTTTCTGATGTGCTTACGTCGAAAAAGTCCCGACCTGACTCCGATGCTGAAAGGATTGCCGTAGAAGCTGATGTGTATGAAGCCTCTTCGGAGAGGTTATCATTTTCTAAATGAGTCAACTGAAGTTGAGGAACAGCTTGTAATGTTTCCTTCGATTTAATACCAGTCTCTCCTTTTCTCGAACCGAATAGCCTTCTCAAACTTTTCTGGATAATTAGTGCAGCCGTTTCTTCATTCATTTCCCGTCCCTCTCGCTTCTTTTTTATGTATTGACGAAAATAACGTTGTATTACACGAGCCGAGTGATTGTATTTATTTTGAGACACAATTTCTGCGGTCTCGTCACATTCCGTATTACCGTAAGACCAATTGGATTTGGGGCAACAATTATTTAGGTCAGAGGTTCGATTTTTAGAAAACTCCAACGATTGAGTATGAATATTCATTTGTTGGCCACCACCTAAACCTTGACCCAAAAATCTTCCACAAAAACATTTAACAAAAGGCGTGTAAAAAAATCGATCCTTATTTAAAAAATAGTTTTCATATGCTTCATAAGTTATATGTTTGGATTCATACGACTCATTAGAATTTCTCAAGTGTCGGAAATATTCAACAGCGAATTCACACAAATTTTCGGGCTGTTCTCTTAAAACAGCCTTTATAATATCTTTCAAGAGTTCGGTCAAACCGTCAGGTATGACGGTGTACGCCAAAGCCATTGGAATATTGTAGCTAAGTGGAGTTTTAACACTAGAGAAGTCGTATTTTTTATAAGTCGGTTCATAGTTTTTTACATCGTAGTTTTCCTTTTCACGTAGAAGGGAGAGAAAATAATTTTCGGCGAAATGATAAATATTTGTTGGTTTTTCCTTTAAAATTTCTCTAGTCAGATTTTTCATAAGATTTCTTAGTCCCTGCGGAACTCTAGGAGTGTTATCCGTAGCCATGTTAGCTCAACTTTGCTTTTTATCGAACTGAATGTCTATAACCGAATTAAATGTTAACATTGTGAGGTCACAAAACCATGGATACCTGCAAAAATAGCCGTTTCCCAGGGCAACCCTGACAACGATGGGACATACAATTTAAAGTGAAGTGTTTGAACAAAAAGTCCATCAGAATATATTTTATAACTTTTCAGCGTTCAATTTGATTGTTTTCATTGTTTTAAATTTGGTATTTCGAGTTTGTAATAGGTTCTTCCGTCTGTGGCATAAAAATGTTTTTAAAATATTCGACATTTTAACTGGTTGGTTGGCCTTTGTGCATTTGTTTGTAACATGCAGAAGGAAATAGTTCCATAGTTCCTTTTGATGATCTTCATAGAATCACATTCTGGGTCGATTTATGCATGTCCGTCTGTCTGTCCGTGTATTTTTGTAAGCAAGGTACAGGTCGCATTTATTGTCTGATTGAGATGATTTTTTCACAATTCATATGTTTGGCCCAAGGACGAACCCTATTGAAATTGGGGATACTTAGATTTGGATAAATCTCCTATATATAGAGTCGTCCGATTCATAAGTGTTATGTACCAAGTGCGTAATATATGGGCAGGATAAGTCCAGAAGTATGTCTTACAATTTTGATGAATATCGGTTCAGATTTAGATATAGCTCCCATATATATTTTCGTCCGATTTTAATTTTATTATGCGCCTTATCTTTAATATTTGCCCAAATGGAATGGATTTCGGAACTCAGAAGCATTAGTCTGACATGAATTATGTGCTTCAAATTTATTGAAAATCTGGTCAGATATAGCCATAGCTTCCATATATATTTCATCCGATTTTGAGTTTTAATCTATCAGATTCGCAATATGCACTACACAACCAGATATCATATACACTCCAGATATACCTCTGCCAATTTTCATAGAGATCGGTTCAGATTTATATATAGCGCCCATATAGATCATTATCCGATATATCAGCCCAAATGGAGTGGACTTTTGCATAAATAACCGAATTCAGTCTAGAAGCAAATGCTTCAAAGATGGAGAAAATCAGTTAAGATACCTCTTCCAAATTTTATCGATATCGGTTCAGATTTGGATATAGCTTACATATATATCTTCATCAAATATGTAAAATCGTGAAGATTTCCACATTCAACTAAATTTATCCTGGAAGCAAATACGATATTTGTTGAAACTCAGCTCCCATTCATCTAGGGCTTGGACATATTGTTTTAATATAATCCTTCTCGAAGTCAAATTATGCACTCCATAGCTATGTTATTTGGTAAGAGAGGTAAATTCGGTAGAAATCGATTCTGAGTTCGATATACATCCCTTACATTATTTTACTCTAATTCCAAATTATAGCCGCTCTAAAGCTATAATAAGCATTCAAAGAAGGGTTATGATTGGTATGACCTACTTCGATAAATCGCAATAGAAACGCTTTTTAAGGGTTGCTTTACTAAATGCGCATAGTGGTGTAGGGTATCGGCCCGCCCGACTTTTTACCCTTCTTTACTTGTTTACTGTTGCTGAATTATTGATAGTAGTTGGATTAACCCCGTAGTTACAGCTGCTAAATATTTTTAAAGGAGCAGTTAGTTTTGACTGCAGTTGTAGCGCTATCAATATATGTAACTCCGATTAACTATAACGATCTCCTTTAATTATGATTTGCAATATTTTTGGTCTTCTGAGGAAGCCTGTTACCAACATATTGGCTCTTTGACCCAATATTAGCCTACTTTTTATACCCTACATCCCAAGTGGTAAGGGTATTATGTCTTTGTGCATTTGTTTGTAACAGGCAAAAGGAAACGAGATAGACCCATAGTTTCTTTTGGTGATCAGCATAGAATCACATTTGAGTTTCACCCCACCAAATACACATTTTTATCCAAATCCTTTGAAATATGGTACAATCAGGAGGTACTTTTATATGGGCACTACTCCGAAACATCGACCTACATTAAAAACTTCCTTCTATCTCTTATAATCGAAGATGACAAATAGAGGCCAAATCAAAAATATAGCAGAACAACATAACATGTCAGACTGAAAAAATTCGCGTGATATAAATAAGTAAAAATAGTTTTATCCCACCTAATAATTGAGGGCAGAATGATTTTAGAATAGTCAAATATAATTACTATTTTACACCCATTACCGTAAGATGGGAATTAATTTTATTTGCCATATAAATTGTAAGTTGGAGACCCCATAAAGTTCATATTTTCATCATTGTATAATTAAATGAGGATTCAACAAATATTCGGTTCCGTGCTACTTTCTTATATTTGTAATATGTTCATGTTTTCACAATTTATTTCATATAGATGTACTTCCCAATTTACGTTCCCAATCAATATTCTCTTGGGGGTTACAAATTCAATAGAATACAAAATTTTCTTTTCTGACCACACATTAGAGTGTGAAAGTGTCTTGGGGATACTCCAATGTGGGGACTTTACTTAAATAAATTTCTGTGTGGCAATTATCTGTGTGATGGTTCCTATCCCAGGGTAGCATAAATACATATTTTTAGCCAAATCAATTGATGAATGTGGTCAAGACCAATATGGGGCCTACTCAAATTTCAAATTTTATGCGAAGAGGTTCTCTACCCCCTTAGAAACAAAGATTCCAAATAGGGCCAAAATTGAAAAAACTGGCCAAGACCCTTAAATAGCTTAAATCATACGATGGTTATATAAATATGATATCGGGTTTGTACCCTAATCCGTGAGTTATGATCGATATCATGACCTGCAAAAGCGATTTAAGGTATCTTAAATATTTGGGAAGAATTTCTGGAAAGATAGAAATTTTTTCTTACTAAAAGACCCATTCGCTCTGTTATTTTTCACCCTTTATATTTGGTATTTTACTGATTGTACTGCCAAAGAATTTTGCATTCTGAGCTTTCATTGGACGGATTATTTTCACATAAAAGAAGTAGATCCACGCTTTGAAATGAGCCCCATTAGGCTTTTTCGGTCATTTTTGTTTGTTTAAATGTGTTCGCATCTTCCAGCTGAACCACGATGTAGGACCTGGAGTTGAAAGGTAGATGTCAGTTAACATCGTATTTCGCACTTATTTCATTTTTTTTTGCTGAAAAATTGTGAAATTATTCTTTATTTTGATCACAAAAAATCCCCTGAAATCAATATGATAATACAAATTGAAAAAAAAAAATTAACCAGTAAAGAAAGTCCTAAAGTCGGGAGAATTCATTTTATGGGAGAATTCAATCATACCCGCTATGATTATAATTATAATTAAAGTTCAAAGGACTAATATGCCGAAGCATTTGTATCTTTTAAATTCGGACCTGTATTGCCCATTTGAAGCACAATTAATTTGAAATCGGATAAAATATATATGGGAGCTAAATCCAATCGGAACCGATCTCGATAAAATTTGGCAAAGATATTTCTGAGCTGTATTTGATATATTTCCCTGAATATCGTTGTTACGGAGTGCATATTACGGCTGTGGGTAACAAAAATGACAAATCGGATGAAGAGTATATATGGGAGCTATAGCTATATCTGAACCGATCTTCACCAAATTTGATTACTAGCTTCTAGACTCAAGTCGTAAGTGCCAAATTTCATCCAATTGTGCAAATATTAGACGTTTGGTGCACAATCAAAGGTAAATCGGACGTAGTTATATATGGGAGCTATATCCAAATCTGAACCGATCTCCATAAAATTTAGCAAATGTATTTCTGAGCTTATTTGATATATTTCCCCAAATATTGTTGTTACAAAGTGCATATTACGACTGCGGAGGACAAAAATAACAAATCGAACAAATGAACAATATATATGGGAGTCATAGCTATATCTGAACCGATTTCGATCAAATTTGGCATACTTATTTTGAGGTCCAATCTGATCGTAAATTTTGACCGATTATCTCCAATTTCAATAGGGTTCGTCCTTGGGCCAAACAAATGATTTGTGCAAAATTTCATCTGGATAGGGCAATAAATGCGAACTGTACTTTGTTTACAAAAATACATGGACAGACGGACGGACATGCATAAATCGAATGTGATTCTATGCAGATCATCAAAAGGAACTGTGGGTCTATCTCGTTTCCTTTTGCCTGTTACAAACAAATGCACAAAAACATAATACCCTAACCACCTTGTGGTGTAGGGTATAAAAATCTTTAACTTGTTCGCTGATTTTTTACAGCAAATGTTTAAAGGTCTTTACAAAGTTTGTCAATAGAATGTACTATTATTTTAAAATTCGATTTCATTGAAAATTTTTTTTTTCGATTTTTTCCTGATTTGATAATTTTTGCAATGAGATCTCATTTTCGTGATTTTTTAGCGATTTTGGAAAAGTAATTATCTTTTAACTTTGGTGTGACCGCGTTAAATTATTTCGATATCATCTATTCCGTTTCGCCACCACATAATTCGGTACTACACTTCCATGTATCCCGCCATCAATTTCAGTTCTCAAGAAATCAAGTCAATTAAATAAATGGTATTAAAATATAAAAAACACTACAAATGTACATTAGAAAAAAGTAAGTCAAAATGGAATAAAAACATGCAAAATAAAACATTACTATTGTTCATCTCAAAAGTCAAAATGAAAATGTTAATATATCACATTTTTACGCGATTTTTTTGGATATTATCCTTTTCGGACAGGAGATAATTCCGAATTTGTCGTTAAAATCAGTCCAGCGGTTCTTAAGTTTTAAGCGTAGTAACTAACACAACTTTCTCTTATATACATATACATATACTAGCTGGCCCGGTCGGCGTTGCTGGCCGTAATTTTAGTCTTTAATGCTATTATATCATCCACCTTGGAAAGGAGGGTATATTAACTTTTCATTCCATTTGTAACATCACTAAATATTCGTCATAGACCCCATTAAATATGCATATATATTCATATTCAGCATAAAACTCTAAGTCGATTTGTCCGTCTGTATGTCTGTTTGTTTAAATTACGATACAGCC